TGCTGTTAGAGTTTGTTTTATGTATTTTGGAGCCCTGTCATTGGGTACATAGATGAGATGTTTACTGTGGTTATGTCTTCGTGATGGATCGTCCCCTTAATCATTATATACTGTCCTTCTTTGTCTTTTATGGTGGATTTTGTTTTAAAGTCTATTTTATCTGAGATTAGTATTGCCACTCCTCTTTTTTGGTAGCTACGTGCTTGATATACTTTTTTCCATCCTTTGGTTTTTAATAAATTTACATCTTTGTTTCTAAGGTGTGTCTCTTGTAGACAGCATATTTATAGATTCTATTTTTTTCTTCCATTCTATCACTCTTTGTCTCTTTATGGGTGCATTTAGGCCATTTATGTTCAGTGTAATTATTGATAGGTGTGAATTTATTGCTGTCATTTTGTGGTGCTGATGTTTTCTTTGTTCCTCTTACTCTCCTGTGCTGAATTCCTTTTGTTTGTGGATTTTTTTCATTTCTTTTGTTTTTATAGGTTTTGTTTTTACTGAGACTTTATGTTTTCCTTCTTTATTTTGTTGAGTAGGCTTGTTAACTTTCTTTGTGGTTTCCTTGAAATTTAGCCTTATCTTCTCAGGTTTGAACCAGTCTATTATTATTTGGTATCGCCTTGCCTTCTTCTCCATTAGAAGGTTCTATGCCTACACCGTTTATTCCCTCTTTTATTGTCCTGATGTTGTTGTCATTTCCAGATTAACCTCTTTGGTTCCCTGTTGTAACTCGTTTGGTTTTGAATAGTCCTTGAGAATTCATTTCCTAGGTTGGTATCAGGCTGGTACGGTCCTGTGTCCTAGATTCAGCCTGTGGTCTGATGTTGTTTGTTCTCAATCAAAGGACTCCCTTTAATAATTCTTGTAATTTTGGTTTGGTTTTTACATAGTCTCTTAATTTCTGGAAAACTAGGAGATTCTTGACTTCAGTGGAAACGGAAATATCTCATAGCAAATTGATAGCTAATCTGGTAGAAGCTTTACAACTTCCTACTCAGACATCAGTACTTCACTGTAGAGCTTACACAGAGCAGAATGAGAAAATTTCTAAGGGCAACGATTTTGCTGACAGAGCTACAAAGGCTACTGTTAAACCACGGCCAACCCCAAATTTAAAAGCCCCACTCTTAATAAAACAAGAAACTTTTATTCATTTCCAAAAGTATGCTTCATGGGAAAAAAATGGACAATTGGATCAAAAAAGGGGGCTAAAAGAAATTCTATTGGACGGTGGGAATTATCTAAATAAATAATTTTTGTTACTGCAATCCCTATCTGCCTGGTCAGTGTTGTGTCATCAACAAGATCATCTGAGTAAGAGAGAATTGTTGAAGGCACTAGATTCTTACTATGCCAACTAAAAAGATAAAACTATTCAGAATCTATTAAAGAGATGTGCCATTTGTCGACAGAATTCTTTACAGGGTACTCCCAAGTTAAGTGTAGGAAACTTTCCCTGACCAGCTCTACCAAGAACGTGGTGACAATTAAATTTCACAAAATCAGTGCCTACTAAGGGTAAGAGATTTTGTCTACTTGTGGTATGGATGATGTCTGGTTGGCCTGAGGTCTTACCTGCCTCAAAGGCTGATGCTCAGACAGTGATAAAGATTCTCAATATACATAATTCCCTCTCTGGGAATACCCACAACCCACCAAACCAAACCTACTGCCAATGAGTCAATTCCGACTCATAGCAACCCTGTAGGACAGAGTAGAACTGCCCATCGGGTTTCCAAGGCTGTAAGTCTTTACTGAAGCAGACTGCCACGTACCAAAACATGTTAAATCTGACAGAAAAAGTCATTTTGTTTCTACTGTTGTCAAAAAATTATGCAAATGTTTGCAGGTTCCTATAAGCTATAGTGGAAACCCTGGTGGCATAATGGTTAAGTGCTACGGCTGCTAACGAAAAGGTTGGCAGTTCGAATCCACCACACACTCCTTGGAAACTCTATGGGGCAGTTCTGCTCGCTCCTGTAGGGTCACTATGAGTCAGAATTGACTCGATGGCAACAGATTTTTTTGTTTTTTTATAAGCTATCATATGCCCTGTCCTTCTCAGTCCTCTGGGCAGATAGAGTGAATAAATAGAACTTTAAAAAATTAATAATACTATCTTAAAAACATGAGTGCAGTGGGTTGTATCCGCTTAGCTATATAATGGTTAAGATTCCTTTTTGTCTTTGTAATCTCTTTAGTAGATTACTTGTGATATATCACATTCTGGTTTAATGTTTATTCAATAATAAAACTTCTCTTTCTCTTCTATTTTTGTGGAGAGGTTTTCTGAATTGAGAATAGATTTTGTTTTTAGTAACTTTTCTCCAACACTTTGGAGGCCTTATAAATGCATGATTGTTGTTGATGATGGTGGTGGTTGTCATCAAGTCAGTTCCAACTCAGGGCAGCCCCGTGTATATCAGAGTAGAACTGTGCTCCATAGGGTTTTTGGTGGCTGATATTTTGGAAACAGATCACCAGGCCTTTCTTCCACGGTGCCTCTTAACTGCAGTGGAGTATATCTTTTCCCAAATGGCAGGCTCTACTTCACTAGCTGGCTTGGTTTCTCTTTGCACATCGTGGACAGTGATTGCCTGTACATTCGTTTAGCAACTAGCCCTTTAATCAGAGTCAGCCATTTTCGATTCTGTCTCTGATGGATCCTGTTCCTGTTGACGCCTTCCCTTTGGTGTCTCTTCCTAGATGCATCAGATATTTTGTTTTGGTTTTCTTTCTTAAGGAACACAGTAAGATGAAACGAATGTTAATAAGGCTAAAAATAAATCAGGATTCTTTGACCCCACTGACAGACGTACAAGAGGCAGCTAACTGGCACTATGTGTTCTTGGCAACATGTAACCCAGACTTGCCACACAGTTTTTCTTTGGATTTTCATTCTCCATTCCTGATCCACCCCACCTGCATTTTGATTCAGAACAGGTCACTTTATACTATTTGCATGCATGTCAGTTTCTAGATTTTAAAATCAATGTGATTTTAAGGAAAAGGGTCCTTGGTGCCTTAAGCATCAAATCCTTACAAGGTCAGTGCTTCACACTGCAAAGCACATGCAAATCACATGAGGATCTTGTTTAAATGCAGATTCTGACTGGGTAGGTTTGTGTGGGGCCTAAAGTTCTGCATGTCTAAGATTAAAAATAAAATTTTCACAATATTAAATTTGTATACAAACTCATAAACTTTATTTTTCAGTTCAGGAACGGAGAACATCTGGTTTGGAAGCCAGACAAGTTCCAAAGCATGGTACAGAGCAGACGGGTTTTTGTAAGCACAGACACACGGTACAAGGAAGCTATACTGGGCAAATATACTGGCAGGCATTTTCTTTCCTTATTTGGGATTAAGGGGAATTTTTGAACGAAGTTAAACTCAGCAGGCAAGTCCTGATTGGCTAGGTTAGGTTACCATTTCTGGGGGAGTCATTTCGCCTCCTGGGAAGGTTAGGCATTTACAAGAAATAGAAACTTTGGTTTTGGTTTGCTGACGTGGGGGGCTCAGCACAAGTGACTTGATTTTAGGTCTAGTATAATCAGGTTAACAAGAGGTAACAATAAGAAAGACTTTAAATTTGTGTTCTTTCCATTGTTCCCCTTGTCTTTTAGAGAAATCAATTTTTCAGTAATTGGTCAGTATGTGGACTATCTTGTGGAAGAACAGGGAGTGAAGAGCATTTTTGGTAAGTTTTTCTTTAGGGATTTCTCTCACATCTCTCTAGCTCAGTCCTTAGAAGGTAGCTCCCTCCTGATTACTAGTCAGGAGGTCACAGTATCACTGGTGGTTATGACTGAGCCTGGTTAAACTAACACAATTTGTGAATTTGTAGACTCACCAATTTTCAACCTACAAAGCACCTCAAGAGATTGTCTAATTTGGTGGTATGCCTTCAAAACAGCTAAGGTATTATTTTCATCCTCATTTAGAGATGAAAATCTATAGCTCAGATATATTACTTAGGTTGCCTAAGGCTATTCAGCTAAGAAGTGGTAGAGTAACAACTAAACCCAGGCTTTCTAGCTCTTAAAAACGGGCTTTGTTCCATCTTCACCTGACCTTTCAAATTATGAGTGTAAGGAAGACTGTAAATGCAGCATCCAAAGGAATCACAGGTCTAGCAGTCATCTCCGTTTATTTCATAGACAATGGAAGTTAAAAAAAAAAAAATCAGACCTTGAAAATTTTAAGCCTGAGAACTCTGCTTACCTGGAGTTGAGCTACCCCTTGCATTGTGTTCTGGGCTCTTGTCATTCTAAGGACACTACACCTTGACCCAGACCAAAAGGAGCCCCATTAGAACTGGAGGCACCGTGGCTGTTACCAGGGCAGGTGAAAACTGTGAAAAGGTGTTCAGGCCACATATCAAAATTGAAACCTGATTACAAAACCGTTTAGGGCCCCCCTCAACCGAGCTCCAAACCACAGTAAGAAGCCTGGTTCTTACTCCTCAAAGAGTATAGTGAAGAAGCAGGAACATCCCTTCTACAGGAACACTCTTGAAGTATATCAAGACTGCAGAGAGTGATAAAAGCACTCTTCCCACACCCCTTCATCCTCCCTCCCAACCACATGCTCAGTGCCTGGACAGCCAGAGTGCCACTACATGCATTAAAGAAACAAAAACCAAACCCATTACTGAGTCAGTTCTGACACATGGCGACCCCATGTGTTACAGAGTAGAACTACTCCATAGGGTTTTCTTGGCTATAATCTTTACGGAATCAGATTGCCAGGCCTTTCTTCTGTGGCACCACTAAGCGGGTTTGAACCACCAACCTTTCAGTTAGTCGTCAAGCAGAAATTGTTTGTGGCACACAGGGATGCTTCCATATGCATTAGGCCCCAGTAATGTATCCTAGTACCTTTACATCCTTTCTTTGATCCATTATGAAGCAGTTGTAGTAAAGGGAAAGATGATGGGTTTGGAATCACACTGATCTGGATTCAAACTTATTTAGTGTTTCTGAAACTCATATTTTATATGTAAATGAGAATAATAACTCCTACTTTGCTAGGTGGTTGTGAGAATAAATAAATATACAACAGTGTGCTTGGAACAAGAAAGACTAATCTCCTTTGTATTTCCTTATAAATTGTTATAAAAAATTGAGTTGTCCTGGAGCACTGCCACCATGTCAGACTATAGACAGAGGTAGTTTTAGATCTCTAGTATAAACACCAGTGCCCTCATGAGTAACTCCCATTTATGACCTCCTTGACATCCCAGTACTGGATGGTGTTCATTTTCCTGCCATTCAATCCCAAACACTGAACTGGGTGGTGAGGTTTGGAGATTGGCCTATAGTGTGGGTAGTTATGTCTGTCTCCATTCAGGATCCCTGATGATAAGGACAGATTTCTAATTACAAGTCATAATTAACCTTCCCGCTGCTTTTGGCAAGGTGAAGGTTGAAAAAGAGACTGAGTCTGAAGTGGGAGTGGAAACATGGCATCCCCTCCCCACTCCAAGATTCAAGCTGTCAAGTACAAAACACATCCAGACTTTGATAGGGAGAAGCTTTATTCAGAAAGAAAAGGAGGAAAGGGACTATTACAGTATGGGGGCAGTACAATAGAGAGAACACTCCAACCATAAGATCTGCAAGCATCTCAAAGAGATAGGGAAAAAAATTTTTCTTTTGTAGAGATGAGAGAAAACAAGGATTGAAAAAACCCAGATATGAGGAAATAGGATGAGCAGCAACATCATTGGATAGTAAGTCAGAATGTTTTATGCTGAGGTCAGCCTGTTTTCTGAGAGTGGCCCTTAAAGAGGGGAGTATGTTGGCTCAAGCTGAGGGTGGGCCAAAGTTTAGGAACTTGGAGGGAGGAAAGAAGTTTAACCAAGGTTCGGTTAACAAGTACTTTGTTTCTGATTGATCAATGGGGACAAGCAATTCAGTTACTCATTTATGAGGCAAGGAATGGAAATCTGAAGGGTCCGTGTCTGGCCTTGTCATAGGTGAACAGTGGGCATCCATGAGTCCTATCTAAGTCATGTGGAGAGGATGGCTATTTGTAGTAAGCTGTTTTCCTGAATACAAAGGGTGGGGAGATTTCTTTAACCATTGCTATTTTCCAGTATCACCAGGGTCAGGTAAAAGTTGACGTTAACATATCCTCTGGTGCTCCCACGTCCCTTCCTCTGCACTTCCAGAGTTGTCATTGGAGGGGCAAAAGGTATTCATGGGCCCCACTGACTGGTTCTTTGTTTGGGCAGTGAATGGCACAACGGGAGAAGGCCTGTCCTTGAGCATCTCAGAGCGTCGCCAAGTTGCAGAGGAGTGGGTGACCAAAGGGAGGAACAAGTGAGTAGCTCTGCCAAGATAAAAACCACCCACTAGTAGGAACTGTGTTGAGTGACACTCTTCCCCAATGACACAGTCTCCCTGCCTTCTGGTCAGAGAGGCCAGGTTCAAGGTGAGCTGTGGGAAGATGAGCAGGACCAATTGTGGGTGGAGGATTCGAGGGGTGGGATGTGGGAGGGTAGCGATAGGGGAGGATCCTGCCACTTCTGTGAGGAGCTGAGGCAGAGGATTGCCTTTCCTTTCCTGTGAGGAAGGAAGGACAGCCAGACTGCAAGGCCCAGCTGGCTACCAGGTTCCCTCTGGAAAACTGCCTGTTACTCATCTACAAGGTCAATCCCTTGAGTTACTTGTCCTTGGGTTAAAGGGATAAGAGGAGAAGGGAGGAAGGGGAGGCTTGCCTAATGCTGGTGACTGATTCTGCTGTATCCTTGGCTCTTCTGCTGAACATGTCCCACTCCTGGATCTAATGAACGTGAATCCCAAGAACTCCCATCTCAAGATGGGAGCCTGATGCTTATAGTGGCCCCTTGCTTTCCTTACAAGTCTTCTCTGTGCCTATGACTCAGCAAGCTCTTTGCGGTGTTTCCTCTTGTGGTGTTCTGGGACATTGTGCGTTCTCTGAACTTCAGTGTAGTGTGATACATTTTTACTGTAACAATTTGTGCCATGGTAAAACAAGCAGGACAGTGTCCATTCAATGAGCACATTCAGTAAGCACATTGAATTAACATTTTATTCATGGAGCCCTGGTGGCACAGTGGTTAAGCATTTGGCTGTTGATCAAAAGGTTAGCAGTTCGAATCCACCAGCTATTCCTTGAAAACCCTATGGGGCAGTTCTACTCTGTCCTGTAGGGTCGCTATGAGTCAGAATTGACTCATCGGCAATGGGTTTGGTTTTTTTGGTATCATGTTATGTTTTAGGCACTGAGGATACAAAGTAGAATAAAGCAGGGTCTCTGACTTCTGGTTGCTTACAGTCCAATGGGGAAGTCAGAGAGTAAAAAGCTAACACTCTGGTCCGTCTGATAAATCATATAAATAGGGATCAAAGAAGGATGATTGGTGTTGCCTTAGGTGGAGGCAAAAGATTGGAGGTTAAGTCCAAAGTGAGCCTGAAACAGAGATCATCAGTGTGAAGCCCATGAATACCTTGGGAGTTCTTAAATGACTTTTGAGCACCCTTGCTGAATACTCTGACATTACGAAAGTTTGGGTGCATGTCCACATAAGCATTTTCTGGTGATCCGTCAGCTTTCAGATAATTTTCAGTCAGATCCTAGGCCCAGAAAGATTAAAGATCATGAACAGAATGAGAAAAGAGGAGGCTAAGGATGAACATTAGGAAAAGCACCAGAAACTGGGATAGGGAAGTAAATAGAGAAAGAAAGCACCCAGAAGGGCAGGAGGGAGCTCAGGAGTGAACCCTGTCACTGAAGCCTGAGAGAAGAATAGTTCTGGAGACCACCAATGTAGCATGGTAATTAAGAAAGAAGACTGTGAGGCCAGATGAGCCCTGGTGGCATAGTGGTTAAAATATTCAGATGCTAACTGAAAGGTTGGCAGGTGGTTTGAACCCACCAGCCACTCTGTGGGAGGAAGATGCGGCGGTCTGCTCTCATAAAGATTTACAGCCTTGGAAACCCTATGGGACAGTTCTACTCTGTCCCTTAGGTTCACTATGAGTCAGAATCAACTCAACAGCAACGGGGTTAGTTTTGGTTGGTAAGGCCAGACTTCCCAAGTGTGAGACCTGGCTCTGCCTCTTACTAGCTCCGTGACCTCAGGCAAGTCACTTAACCATTCTGTGCCTCATCTGTAAAATAGGAATAATAATAGTACTTAAAAGGTTGTGGTAAGGATTAGAACAGTTCCTGGCATATAGTGCTACGTATTATATAATAAGTAGCTATAATTATTTGCAGCAGACATCATGTTCATTGTAACATTTGTTATAATAATTATTAGATTCTGCAAAGGTCAGTAGATGGAGGACTGAGAAGACCACTTGGTTTGACACGTAGGAAGTCACCAGTGACCTCAGAGAGAGCAGGGTAGTCAGGTTTTTTCCTGCAAAAGCTAGACTGTAGTGAGCATAGACTGCAGCCAGTATGTGGAAGTGGGGGAGCTGAGTGTGGATTATTCTCACGAAGAATTTTCTGGTAAAGGGAAGGAGGTTTGGGGTCACAGATTAAGGAGGAGGCAAGATTGAAAGGATAGTTTTTGTTTTTCTACCTTAAAGTGGGGAAGTCTTGAGCATGTTTCTATGCTGAAAGGACATGCCAGGGAGAAGAAGAGATTAAAGTGTAGGAAAGAGAGTGGAGAACTGGTGGAAAGCCTCAGAGGGGGGTTTGTAATAAAACCAGAATTAGAGAGAGTAGCTTTAGAAGACAGCTAAGAAGCTGGAAGGAAAGCATGGATGGTGATGTTGGTATGTTGAGAGGTATAGAGGAGGAAAAGTGAGGGCTTCCATGCATGTAAGGTTCTTTATCATTGGTGTCTAGGAGGCTAGGACACTGGCCAAAAACAAAGAGTTGGGGTGGAATTTAGAGCTTGAGGAGAAGAGCCAGGATTTGAAATAGCCACTGTGGGGAATGGGAAAGGGAATTGAGTCCTGACAGACAGAAGGCCTTTGGGAGCCTCTTTCTCCTGAATTGGGAAATTTCAGGTGTGTTTGTAGTAAAGCCTCGTGGTGGTTTTCTATAGCTTTGCCTGCATGCAGCCCAGGGGAAGGGGAGGATGGAATGGATGATTGGTTTAACCTAAGCTAGGAGATTGTTGGGGGATTGGGGATTGAGGGGGGTGCAAGATTAAGGAGATCATGCAACAAAGCTGGTGAGAGTAAAACAGGTTGGTCACCCTTCCTTTTTCCCTTCAGAAGTCTTCTATTATCTTTTAAAAATCTAAACCTGAACTTGTCACTTCTCAGCTAGGTCTCATTTTACCTAAGACATAGGAAACCAAGAATCCTTGGAGGACTCAATAAATGTTTGGGTCTAAGTGGGCATGTGGTGTCTCCACCCCATGAGGACAGCATGTTTATCATCCAGAGTCCCTCAGAAGACTCACTGGAATGCCTAAATTAATGGCTGAGCTCTGGTCATCGTCCCTCTGAGAAGATGAGTGCTAACTGTGGCCTCTCCCCATGGGGTCACATAGAACCAGCCTCCTTTTGGCCAAATTTTAAGGACTTACAAGATAGCAAATAACTTTTTACAGTAAATTAATTTCTCATATGGTTGGTTCCTGGTTGTACTCTTCAAGGAACCTCTTTATTTCTCTCTCCAACCAAAAAATATCTCGATATTATACCTATCTTTGTGTACATGTCACCACCAAATACACCATCTAAAACAAGCTTAGTCAAAATCAGTACTCAAGTATGGATTAACCAGATACTGGTTTCAGAATTTGATTATTTGGTTGAATCTTAAATTATATTCCCTGGACTTTTTTTTTTTTTTTTTTGCCTAATGATTCCTGTCTTCACTCTTTTCACTATTTTTACAGATTTCCAAGGTTTTATTCTTAAGGCTTAGCAGTAGTAACTGCTAACATTTATTAAGCATTTACAATGTGTCAGGTACCATGCTGTGGTTTATATTCAGGAACTCTTAGAATCTTTACAACAGCCCTGAGGCAGGTACTGCTATTTAAGTGCTTTACTGACAAGTTCACAGCTGGTTAGTAACAGTTACGACTGTCTAACTCTGAGGTATAAGATCTTTTTATTATTATTATTGTTGTTAAAAATATACACAGTAAAACATACACCAATTCAATAATTTCTACATGTATAATTCAGTGACATTGATTACATTCTTCAAATTGTGCAGCCATTCTCACCCTCCTTTTCCAAATTGTTTCTCTCTTGACATAAACTCACTCTCCCCTAAGCTTTGCATCTAATCTTTTGAGTTGCTATTGTCAATTTGATCACATATTGGAAGTTCTTTGAAAAAGCACAGTGCTCACCACAGACATTCTTTACTAGTTAAGTTAGACTTTCATTTGGTTTAAAGAAGGCTTTAGGAGATATTTTTGGTTTAAGGGTTTAGGGTTAAAGATTATCTCAGGGCAATTGTCATGGATTGAATTGTGTCCCCCAAAAATATCTGTCAATTTGGCTGGGTCATGATTCCCAGTATTGTATGACTGTGTACCATTTTGTAATACGATGTGGTTTCCTTATGTGTTGTAAACTCTATCACTATGATGAGGTTATACTGATAAGGTCTACAAGATTGGACAGTATCTTAAGCCAATATCTTTTGAGATATAAAAGAGAGAAGCGAGCAGAGACACACGGGAACCTCATACCACCAAGAAAGCAGTGCCAGGAACAGAGCGTGTCCTTTGGACCTGAGGTTCCTGCACAGAGAAGCTCCCAGACCAAGAGAAGATTGATGACACGGACCTTACTCCATAGCCAACAGAGGAAGCATTACCCTGGAGCCGATGCCCTGAATTTAGGCTTATAGCCTACTGGACTGTGAGAGAATAAACTTCTCTTTGTTAAAGCTGTCCACTTGTGGTATTCCTGTTAGAGCAGCACTAGATGACTGAGACAGCAATCGTTTCAGGGGTTCATCTAGCCTCAATGGCTCCAGAAAGTCTAGATTCCACAGAAATTGAAATTCTCTTCCATACTTTTCAGGGAATATAAGATCTTAACAGCCACCTTTCACCTCCTCCCAGTCAGATATTTTTCCTAGTGCTCCATTCACCATTGGCATCTTGATTTTTTTTGTGTACATTTTCTCATTTAAATCAACAAATATATAAATAAATATATGCAATACCACTTATTTACAAAAATAATATATAATGTCTGACACATAAATTGTTGCTTCTAAACATTATTAAACTAAATCATTTATTCCATTTGGAATTGAATTATAGATTTTACAGCTTTTATTACAGCCTAGAGCTGTTTTTATGCAAGCATGTTTATAATATACTAATCTCTGTGGGCCGTTTCCACCCCTGTAAGATAACAGGCTTAGACTGAATTATCTCTGAGTTTTCCACCTCTAACTTTATGAGACACTACGCTAATCTAATTTCTGTGCATGTTCAACAGCTTTCAACATACATTTTTGCTGCTGGTGATATGCAAACTGTAAAACCATACTGGTTTCCTAGCGGCTCTAAACTAAGGCAGTTGCAGGAATGACTCCCCAGTAAGGAGGAAATGGAGTATAATTTGAACTTTACCTGGAAAACGCTTCTACAGAGTTGACTCTTCTCTACTGTGAAATCAAAATCATCCTAAGAACTTTCAAATCAAAGCCACCCTCTCAGTAACATGATATTGGTGGTCTATAGTAAAAAGATCACCATAAACCCTTTTAATTACCTTAATTTTAAATAGGCCAATGTAGAATTTAATAGTCTTGAGATTAATAAGGCATTGTATTGTTAGCTGCTGTCAGATTGGCCCCCAACTCATGGTGACCCCATACACAAAGGAACAAAACACTGCCTGGGCCTGCATCATCCCCATGAACGGTTGCGGAGGGGACCATTGTGATCTACAGGGTTTTCACTGGCTGATTGTCAGAAATAGATCACCAGGCTTTTCTTCCTTATAAGGCATTAGCTAACTGCTAAAACCAGCCCAAACCAGGACAACGCAATGTTGCCTACCCGTACTCCTTTCTGTCTTACTACTAAACTTCAAGTGTTGCCAACAGTGTTTTGTCTTTTGCAGGTTGGATCAGGTGGTGATTCATGTGGGAGCACTAAGCTTGAAGGAGTCGCAAGAACTGGTATGTATGCGGATCCATCTGGGAGAGACCGCTCAAGAGGCCTCTATTTTTATGCAGAAGCTAAAGTCAGCAGCATTTTTGCTACGTGCTGGATGCTGTCCTGGAGAAAATAAGATGTGGGACCTTAGGGAGCAGTGTCTAGAGGCAGGCACAGAGCCATAAAGAAAGGGCCATAACCCAAGGTGATGGCTACTGTAGCAGAGCTTTGGATAGGAGATGGAGGCAACTCTTCCTCCAAGGAAAGTAAGGATGGATGTAGATATAGCTAAGTTTGCAGGTAAGAAGCAGAACCTGAGCCAACTTCATTTTCCTCTGGGAATAAGGAGGCAAGGCCATCTTCCGGGCATAAGGGGATGGAAGCTGGGTAAAGGCTTGAAGAGTAGGAAAAGTTGAGAATTGCTGAAACACAAAAGGATTGCATGATGATGGTGCAGTGTATCTTCTGTGATGTGTATAATCCTTGTCTTCTCAACCTTCTTCAATTGTATTCCCTTCTCATCTGTAATACAAAATTTAATATATGACTGTCATGTCATTGGACAGGAAAGACAATATCACCCAGTGGGATGAACAAGAGAAGAGAAATTACATCTGCAAGTTTTTCTATTATTAACAGAGAACTTACCAAAATGAACTGCTCATGTCTCCTTAACCTGGAAGCTATGCCACCAGATTTCAAATACCATCAGGGTCACCTGTATTCACTGACAAAGTCCGAAGAAGAAAAGATTAAGTGCACAGTTTATCTCCACTAAGGAGCTCTACTTTGAAACCTGGGGCTTTCCTGGCAGTGATATTTATCATTAAGTTTGGTTAACTTTTCCACTTGTCAGTGGTGCATCAGTTGGCAAATTTAAAATGTTTGCTGCTAAACTCTAATATCTAAGCTGTGGGGGACTATGATAAATCACTTCTCCAGTATGGTCTTCTTTCTTCTTTTAAAGGCCAAACATGCAGCAGAAATAGGAGCTGATGGCATTGCTGTCATTGCACCTTTCTTTCTGAAGCCATGGAACAAAGGTAAGCAGATAGGTCTTAGTTACCTAGGGCCGCCATAATAAAATACCACAAAGTGGGTGGCATTAAAGAACAGGATTTTGTTTCCTCACAATTCTGGGGGCTAGAAGTCCAAATCAGGATCTCAGCCATGTTGATTCCACCTGAGGGCTTTGAGAGAGGAACTGTTACATGCCTCTCTCCTTGTTTCTGGTGGCTGCCGGCAATCCTTGGTGTTCCTTGACTTGTGGGTGTATCTTCACATGATGTCTTCCTGTGTCTGTACCTCTTTGTGTCTGTTCTCTCCTTTTATAAGACACTACTCAGAAAGGATTAGGACTGTGCCCCACCCTACTGCAGTATAACTTAACTAATAATGTCTTCAAAGACACTCTTTCCCCGAAACAAGGTCACATTCACAGATACAGGGGTTAGGACTTCAACCTGTCTTTTTGGGGAACATAATTCAGTCCATAACAATAGGTCTGAACGCACACTGTCTCACATGGTCCCCCCCTTCTTTTTGCCTCCATCCAAAACGGTTATATTTAATTCATAAAAGTAAAGTCCTATAGACTAGAAGCATGAGATTCTCTGGAATATTTCTGCTACCTGGATCCATAAAAGAGGAGACCACATTAAAGGGCCTCAACTCTTTCGCCACATTATCTGATTGGGCCATCCACCAGTCCCCTGGTCAGCCTACAGGTGCTTATGTGTAGGTCAGGTGTCCATTCCTGGTTCTTTCAGCTGGATAGGGTGTCGAGGTCACATGACAAAGTATGTGAAGAATATAAGTGATGAGCACTTTGGGACTACTGTCCTATTCAAGGCAATGACTGAATAATGGATTTGAAAAGAGATTTCACAGAAATATCCACTGTCTTCCAAAATATCAAGTTATTGCTTTTTCCTTCTCCACTCTCTTTTCTATGGAAATTACTTGAGGTTTTGAAATAAACTAATCCTTTTTAATACTTCTTGATAAGTAAAAAAAGAAATACAAATCTTAAAAGCATAAAAATTAGACAAGATGCTATCTGCATGAATAATTAAATCCATAACTAAATATATAATAGGTCAGTATCATCATGAAATGTCAACTATTGTTGGTAGAGAAAAAATAGTTATTAATGTAAATAAGGAATTAAAATATTGCTAATTTGGGAATTTAGAACAAACGTTTTAGAAGTTTTTTTCACATAGTGTTTAGAAATTTTACATAAATGCTTTTCCCAGAAGGTGAACAAAAGAAAAATAATGAATTATGCACAATTCACACATAAGAAACTATCTTATCATAGACACAATACGCCATCACAGTATTCAGATGGAGTACATAAAATTTTCTTTCTTGGTCTCTGACGACATCCAAAGTATAAGCAAGTCGGCTGAATTTATTTGTCATCTGAGGTAATGTTGCATGTGAAAGTCATACTGGATGACATGTAGGAAATCCCAATTACTCAGTAAACTAGAGTGAACAGTCTTCTGATGTATCTGAATTTCTCCCAAAAGAAGAAAGAATTGAACTCTGGTTGAATTAGTGTGAGATGTGTCACTACTCTTATAACATCCCTCTTTAAGCACATGTTGTTCATCTTTTTGTTACAGAATCTTCTCAGTTTTAATCTTATTGTTCTGTTTTTAATGCAAGCCTCTGTGGCTCACTGACTACACTTAGTCCTTCTGGAGTAAGAAGATAAGAATCCTATCTCCCAGTTGAAAGGCTTTTGGTTTTTATAAAAATATTTGATGATCTTCTCTTAATGTGTGGGAACATTTGTACCAATTTTTAAATAATAGTGTAGTATGGTAGGAAAATGATAATCTTATTTTGGCCCCTCTACAGAAAGGAAAATAAGATTTTTGATGAAGTGAATTACAAAGACATTGCAGTAGTGATAACAGCTAGTAAGCGTGGTCAAGAACTTTTGGCTTCCAAGAATGATGGTTGCATTTCATTAGATTATTTATTTATTTACCAGGTAGAGCCACTGCTTTACACTTGTTCATATCATGACTCTTCTCCTGTTTTCCAGATGTCCTGATTAATTTCCTAAAGGAGGTAGCTGCTGCTGCTCCTGCATTGCCTTTTTATTACTATCACATTCCAGCCTTGACGGGGATAAAGAGTAAGTACTGCGCCTTTTGATGTTCCTTTCCCTCCACCTCTCACATTTTATTTTACCCTATCTCACTAAGTAAGCCCACTCCACCCAAACTTTCCTCACAGCACAAAAGCATAACACCTTTGACTAGACAGTTCCAGTTGCTCCAAAGTAAGTCACTCTAATATCCCAGTCTTTATCAGTCATTTGGAGCCCTGGTGGTGTAGTGGTTGAGAGTCTGGCTGCTAACGAGCTGCTCCTTGGAAACCCTATAGGGCAGTTCTACTCTGTCCTATAGGGTCGCTGTGAGTTGGAACTGACTCGACAGCACCTAGCAACAACAACGACATCAGTCATTTACATCAACTTATAATGGAAATTCATAAGCATGAACAAGAGGTGACCCCCTAGCAGACACACTTTGCCCCTTCAACCTTGTGTCTCTATTGCACACACACCCCTTTTTCTTACATGGGAAAGACAGGCTGTGTCTACCTTGTATTCTACTGTATTGCCAGTGCCTGGCACAGAGGAAGGTACTCTCTTCTGATTTTTCTGCTAGCTTTTTTTTCTCCTTAATCATTACTGTACTTTTCCAGCTAGAAGATTATTACAGTCAGATGACATTACTCAGGAGATTATTGTTTAATTCTCATTTATTTTTAACATCTTAAAAGACAAAACAGAAGTATGCTTTATAAATATCCACTTATTAAACCTTTGGACTATAATTTGGCAACTACATAGGAACTATTAGTTGGGGGCAAGTAATGATGCCCAGTCCACACCCACCCACAGGCCATGGCAGCTCAGTGGAGATGTGTGAGGTTGTGTGAGATGTTATTTGATATTTTCTGGAGGTGTGCAGATTAATGAAGCATTGATTGTTTTGCACAGTTCGTGCTGAGGAATTGTTGGATGGGATTCAGGATAAGATCCCCACCTTCCAAGGGCTGAAATTCAGCGACACAGATCTCTTAGACTTTGGGCAATGTGTTGATCAGAATCAGCAGCGACAATTTGCTTTCCTTTTTGGGGTGGATGAGGTAAGTCATCCTCTGGCATACCTCAGCAGGTTAGTTTCCTTCCAAAGCAATTTATTTAGCTCTTTATATTGCACTTTTTTCCTTTCTCTTTTTCATGAAAGTGAATACTCTTTATCTATTTCTGATCAGCAACTGTTGAGTGCTCTGGTGATGGGAGCGACTGGAGCAGTGGGCAGGTAGGCATGACTCATTTTTCCCAATGGTTATAACTGTAAAGTCCCCCCCATAAAGGAATTCATCACTTGAGTACCAAGTAATACATGCCATTTATGTTTGTTTGCCAGCCTGCACCCTCTCCCCTATAAGGTATTTTCATAAGTACACTATACTAATTTTTTTTACAGCAACATGTAAAAAAAATTGGCATAGCAGCACTTATGAAAATACCGTGTGTTATTTGTGTGAAAATACAGTAGTTATACTTCTTGCATGTTGTTGTTGTTAGCTACCGTCAAGTTGACTCTGACTCACAGCGACCCCATGTACAAGAGAACAAAACATAGCCTGGTACTGCGCCATCTGCATAATCATTGGTATGCTTGAGTTCATTGTTGCAGCCACTAGGGGACTCATCTTCCACCACTATAAGAAAAAAAACAAACCAGTTGCTGTGGAGTTGATTCCAACTCATGCCAACCCCACGTGTGTCAGAGTAAAACTGTGCTCCATAGGGTTTTCAATGGCTGGTTTTTCAGAACTAGATTGCTAGGTCTTTCTTCCAAGGTGCCTGTGATTGAACTCAAACCTTCAACCTTCCAGTTAGCAGCTGAACACATGAACCCTTTGTACCACCCAGGGACTCCTCCAGCACTGTATTGAACAATATTCTGTTGTGATCCACAGGTTTTTTCTTGGCTAATTTTTTGGAGGTAGATTACCAGGCCTTTCTTCCTTGTTTGTCTTAGTCTGGAAACTCCAATGAAACCTATCCGCTATGGGTGACCCTGATGGTATTTGAAATACTGGTAGCATAGCTTACAGCATCATAGCAACACATAAGCCACCATAGTTCAACAAATTGACAGATGGGTGGTGGTTTTTATATGTACACCCTTTCTAATACAGGTTACCTTTCTTTCCCACATTCTTTTAGTGAAGGGGAATTAATGGGGGTTTAGCAGCTCATTAGAAACTCAGTTATTGTTACTTAGAAGCATCTGTTGCAGTTAGAGGTGCAACGCATGAGTATAGCAGCTGAGCGCATGAACAGGGGTTGTAACTTAGTGGGATCGGCTCTTAGCTCTGTAGGACCCAGTGTTCAGGGTCTCAGGGATGGGTTCACACTATCTTTGTCAGAAATTATTTGGTTACAAGTTACAGAAACCCATTTAAACTAGCTTATGTAAAAGAAGACAAGTTGGTATAAAAATACTGGGAAATTATGCAAAACTAAGAGGAGGAAGTGCAGGTAGGCCTCAGAGGGGTGAGAACCAAGAACTGTGAAGTACCCAACAGCCAAGGCAGATCATTCTCCGTTGTGGTCCTCGGAGACTCTCACCTCTGCATCTATCTGCACATCTGTTCATCTCCCTTCTCTCTCTTTCTCCAGATGGGCTTCCTTTGCTCCAGCATGCACATGGCCGACCACAGCTGCCCGAACGTGGCATCTCAGGATGTCACTCCACAGCACAACTTAGTCAAGTGACCACCCAAGATCTGGTCAGCTGTGGCCAGGGAAACAGAATCATGCAGCCCAGTGCCTACCCAGCAGAAGGCTTAGAAAGAGCAAGCAAATAGATTAGCATGTTCCCTGCACATGCTAACCTAATTCGTTAGAAGAATGGCTGCAAGCAGATTGACTGAAATATTTCCATTAATTGAAAGTGCCCTCCCTATAGCGAAAGTAAAATAAAAAAACAAAAAACAAAAAACCACTGCTGTCAAGTTGATTCCAAACTCATAGCAACCCTATAGGACAGAGAACTGCCCCATAGAGTTTCCAAGGTTGTGACGTTTACAGAAGCACACTGTCACATTTTTCTCCTGCGGAGCAGCTAGTGGGTTCAACTGCCAACCTTTCGGTTAGCAGGGCAGCACTTTAATCACTGTGCCACCAGGGCTTCTCTATAGCAACAGTACAGGGGAAGCAAAGTAATATTCATAACCTATCTTGGCAAGTATGGCTTTGATGCAGAAGATTGACTCAGATAATGGCTCATTCACCAACCCAGGGTGGTCTGCTGCACCCGTCATCACTGCAGGGATGAATCAACCAAGGAAACCTAAATGCCTGTATCTGCTGACCTTGGAACCTTTTTTCCTGGAAGTTCTTACTTTTTTGACTCCCGTTTTTTGGCCACCATCCTAGCCATTTTAACTCTGTCAATAATAATCTTTCTCAGACTAAGCAAAGTACAGCTGGTCAGACTTCAGTTTTTCTAAATAATAACCCGTTCCTCTCTGTCTAAGTGAGGATACACCTAAGACCACTGGGATGCAAATTTTAGGATTCTGAAACTCCTCAGACATCCATGTACATATTGTGCCTTAGGGGTGTTTTACCAGTACAAGTGACTTATCTTAATTATTATATATTTTTTTTCCCCCTTACTTTTGTTCATGTTCTGGGAATCCCTTGCTGTTGACTCCAGGATCTATCTACATATACAAGGACGACAACATTCTGTTCTTGGTGCATCAGGATAAATACTTTTTTTTATACTGACTTATTATGCGAGAAGCCGTTTAACCTCTCTTTGCTTCTGTTTTTGCTTTAAAGAAATGGGGGAGACACCCTCATTATGAGTTCAAGCAATCTTCTACCTTGCAGGTTTCTTTAAGAATTCAGTGATTAGTCTTAGACATTTGTCCTTACTGGTAATGTTAGGGAGCCCTGGTGGTGCAGTGGTTAAGAGCTCAGCTGCTAACCAAAAGGTCGGCGGTTCGAATCCACCAGCTACTCCTTGGAAACTCTATGGGGCAGTCTATTCTGTCCTATAGGGTTGCTATGCGTTGGAATCAACTTGATGGCAATGAGTGGTGGTGGTAACGTTAGAGATGTTTTTCTAAGTTTCCAAGAATGTACCAGATCCAATAACTTTTCTCACTTTCATTTTTGTTGAATTGTCACAGAAGACAGCCTGAAGTGATGGAAAGCCTTTGGGACAACTCTGTAGCCCTTCCTTTGGGCCATAGTTTCTTCACAGTGAAATAGAAGCCAGGCCTTCCTTGCAGGGCTTTGAAAGGGATTAGGCATAATTTATGTCAAGCACCTGGAATCTAATAGGCACTTAATAGTTTCTCATTTTATTATTATCATTATTAACATTATTATCTAGAAACTAGTCTCTAAGTTATACACAAGCTGGCTGGGAATTTCGTAGTTTGTTGGGATTTGCTTTTATTGTGGCGCTCCATTCACCCTGTTTCTCAACATAAGGCTTTGAGGACTGACTCACCTCAGATACCAGATTTTATCCACAGTTCTTACCTAGCATTGAGCCTCTGTGTGTTTACTGGGGCAGGCATTTGCCTCAGTTGCTCCTTATCAAATACACTTCCATATTTGTTTTCCCTTTTTCTTTCTAGTCTTTATCCCCTTTCCTGTTCTCTGCCTCTCTTCCTCCTCTGGCACTGCTTAGTACTGCTGGAAAACTCATCTCCTCATAGGTTAGGGCCTAAAAATAGACTTCTAGGAGGCCTGGGTTTGAAGATCTGGACCCTTCCAGTTGAGTTATTGAACCTGTGGTAATTTTCTGTTTTCTTGCCAGTACTTATAATTACCTGGGGAAAAAGGCAAACCAGATGTTAGAGGCTTTTGAACAAAAGGACTTTTCTTCAGCCCTGAATTATCAGGTAAACTTTTTCTTCCTTTCACAAAAATTATAGCCTTTTTTCTTCCAGCTTGAAAATTCTTATCCTTCTCTCTCATCAGCATTCCAACCACCTGCCCTCATTAAAATTGCCTAGCCTCTTTCTTTACTTATCTTCTGTTTCTTACTTTTTCTTGTTTAAAACCAAACCTTTTCCCATTGTATGTATCCCCTACGTGTCCAATCAGGATAGGCCTGATACAAGAATGACTTATCTCTTCTCCTCTGATCTTATTTCTACTGTATGTTCAAAGTACTTTTGTAGTTGTAAAATAGTAGTGGCTGATTTCTGGGAAAATGACCAGACACTGTCTGTCCCCTTGAGGACATCACACCTGAGTCATCAGAGAATGTGAGGAAGCTATGAAACTTGGATTAAACAAGGAAGGCTTAGTCGGAGCAGGTCAGTCCTCTTCACCTTGGAAATGTGCCACCAGGCAGGAAACAGGAGCCAACTGGGTAAATCAAAAGGAGACACTGACTTTGAAACAGGAAGAGAAAAGCCGCAGGAGCTGATGTGTTACAGGCACAACCCCAGGGGAAATGGTGTCTGCCATAACGGTAATATGGAGGCCAGCTTAGCTGTCTGGGGAAAGAAGGGCCTCACTGAAGGGTTGAACCAGTCTCAACAGCTGGGTAGTGTGTGTACTTTTAGGAGTGGAGCAGAAAGAAATAGGGTAGGTGCAAGAAAAAGACTTTCTGGGGCTAAGAAGCACAGAGATTTTCAGGATAGTAAAAGTGGGTGCAAGGAGTGTCGCAGCAAAATAAGCAGGAGTAGAAGGGAGCATAAGCAAGAACAGCACAGGTGGTTGGTCCTAGTAAAGACCAGATGAGGGATCTTTGTGAATAGGACAGGGTACCATCGGGGCAATTACCAGGATTACAGAGCAGAAGTGCAAAGCATCCTGGGGGCTAGAGGGAGTGACCTGGAGCTGCAACCAGAAAGAAAGTAAGGAAGCCGTAGCCAGGAGTGATTAATTTATTCCCACCCTTCAGGCCTGAAAGTTGAGCTGGCCTAAATCTACCTCCTCCTTAAAGTTTGAATAGCTTAATATTCACTTTTGTTCAGTCCCAGACCAGGTGAAGCTGAGAGCAGGAACAGGGTGAGAACTTAGGAAGCTATGCCAACCAGACAAAACATTGGCTAGACTCTGGTTTCAATCAGAATAAGAATTCTGAGTTCTGTAGACTCTATGCTCTCTCTGCATCGATGCTTATTTTCTTTTTCCTTAGTTTCCTAGAAAAAAATTATTTTTGAAAATTCCAAACCCGTTCTGAGCTGAATGATAGGGAAATCATAGACTGGAATAAACTGCTGAACAGCTGGGTTGTGACTCTTTGATTTAGTGGTTTCTCAAATGAAAGTGGCTGGGCCAGTTTCCATCTTTTTTGTCCCGTCATTAAAAACCAAACCCACTGCCACTGAGTTGATTCCGACCCATAGCGACCCTGTAGGACAGAGTAGAATTGCCCCATAGGGTTCCCAAGGCTGTAATCTTTACAGAAGTAGACTGCCACATCTTTCTCCCTCTGCTAAGCAGCGGGTGGGTTCAAACCGCTGACCTTTTGGTTAGCAGCCAAGCACTTTAACCACTGTGCCACTGGGGCTCCTTTTTTCCCATCAGCCCCACTCAAATTATCCCCTTCAAAACAATGTGGGTAAGCATAGTCTCTGCTTTTTAGAGAAGGCAAGTGTGAGTGGGCCTCGTTTATGCATTCATATGCCAGGGGCTGAGCTGGGTGCATAATTTCAATAAAGCTTGTCTCTGCCCTCAAGGAGCTTTCAGTCAAGTAGAGAAGCAGACAAGTTAAAAAGACAAACTTTATGTTATTCATTCTCATGGACTTAAATGTCACCTGTTATATTTATGTGAGTGAAATGACACATGTACAAAGATACTCCTTGCAGCATTGCTTATAATAGCAAAAGATGGAAACATCCATACATAGGAAATAGTTGAATATATTGTTTGAGTTTACGATGGAACTCTGCAGCCCTTTAAAAGAATGAGACAGCTTTAGCTATACTGCCATGGAAAGATCTCCATGATATGTTAAGTGAATAAGAACAGTAAAGTACAGTACAGTGAAAGTAATCTGCTATAGTTTGGGTGGGGAGTGGAAGGGAGAACATACACATATATGTTTGTAAAGCTGTGGATATTAAAATTTTATTCTGCATTGAATTCTTGTTATTAGTAAGTACACAATTGACCAAAACAACATAAATGTATGACACATTTTGATAAATACATTTTTAGCATAAAGGTAAAGTTTAATTAAAAATGCATCTCTTAATGAGATAGATGGGACTTTTTTTTTTTTTTTAACCAATTCATGAAATCACGGATGAATATTTCTTAATGCTGGGATGAGCTGAGGTTCAGCATCAATATAGTTCTGTTTGTTTTTGTTTGTTTTGTTTTATTAGGAGAAGGGCCAAGAAACCCTGTTGATATAAGCTAGTGGATAAGAATGGAAGCATTTTTGCTATAGCAATGTCACTAATTCTTTGAACACTTTCTGAGTCGTATGCCAAAAATCACATAATGCTTGATAATTTAATGATTTTCAGCTGACAGCCAGAGTAGCAACATTGAAAGAATTTAAAACACTCTGATTTTCAAGGGAAATTGTTGTCCACTCAGTAGAGGAATTACTCCACCACTCTATTTATCAATGTCAATACCAACATTTTTATTTGTTCCTTTACTTGGTGCTCCAAAGGTGTCCCAAGGCAATGATGTGGGAGGTTTGTCTTTATTTTTTTTAGAAGTAGGTGAAGAAGGACTGTAAAGAGGAAATAAAACAACTTGCATTTCCATGACATGTGAATTCTTAGGCTGATCATTTTAGAAAATGGTACTTTTTTGGAAGCTGAGGATCTAGAAATTGGTTTCCATAAATCTTAGCTGTGGCAAATATATAGAGACCAAAGGTTATTAGTGGTTACCAGGGGCAGGAGGGAGGGGAAAGGAGGACTCGTTGTTTAGGAAGCACTGAGTTTCTGTTTATGGTGATGGAAATTTGGCAGTGGATATTGGTGATGGTTGCACAACATGATTAATGTAATTGATGTCACTAAACTATACACATGAAAAACACTAAATTGGCAAATGTTGTGTTATGTATGGTTTTACAACACTAAATAAAATTTCATTCAAGGAGGGAAAAAAATAAAGAGTTGTAACCACAAAAAAAAAAAAATCTTAGCCTTGGCAGAATGCTCCTTGGAAAGTCTCCTTGGGTATCTAGGGACGTACCCCAGAGGTATGTGTACCCCAGTTTGAAAACCACTGCAGTAGTCGATAAGTTTACCTGTGTAAGCCAGATAGATAAGGGGTACCTTTCCCATCTTTACTCTTTATTATGCTGTTCTATCACTGGAGCTCATTTTCTGCACAGACCCATTAAATAAAGCCTGTATGTATGAAACAATCCTAGCTTATCCTGAATGGGTCTCAACCCTGGGTTGTTTGTTTCCCACTCTGACAGACCTTCAGAAAATTAAGTTATGCAGACTTTTTAGTTTGGGGGTTTCGTCATTCGGCCTCTGAATTTTTTAAATTTTTATCACCGTTCAGTAATACTGTATATTTGTTTTGCTTTTCTAGTTTTGTATCCAGAGATTTATCAACTTCGTGGTCAAACTAGGTAAGTGCTGCGTCTGTTCCCTGCTTTGTCTGCTGCTAGAGAGTATAAACGAAATGGAGTACCATTAATTTTTCTGAGAAATCCGGCAAGAACACTTTTTATACCCTATTACACAGAGAGCTTTACTTCCAACACTAACTTTCAGGGCCAACCTTATACAATGGTGAAGTAAACCTAATTGGAAGGTCCTTGGCACCTTTCTAAAATATCTCTTCTCCATTTTAGCACATCTTTTATTCCTCTCCTATACCTTTAGTTGTCTCTGCTCATTAAAATTCTAGACCACACTCTGCCTGATTTCAGTGTAAGCACTTGAAGGAAGGCAGTCTAAATTAAGATCTTACTAAACTGTGAATGACTGACAGGCCTCCCAAGAGTATTTGTAATTTTAAAAAGTTTATTAACACAAGTAAGCTTAAATGGATAGAGGTTTGGATAATATGACAAAGTGAAAATTGGGGGAAATACAGAGAATTTGAGTAGAGGAACCTCTCCAGAGTCTCTTAAATCTTATCCCATGGCAAATGACAGATGCCACCACTTGCTCCACTTCTGCAAGAGATTGATCCTTCATGAAAGCCTAGGTCACTCCAGGAAAAGTCTGAAGTGTATTCTTGGCAGACCACCCACCTCCTTTCAGAATCTCTCTTCTTGGCAATTTCTCCCTCACCCAAGCCACCTACTGTGCCCCTCATTCACAGGGTTCTCAGCTAGCTTTCTTAATCCTTCAAAGACAATGCTTCCCATTTGCATTACCACTTTCATGATTTTTGTACTAGTGTCTCACTAGTACTATCAATTACTTAAAATTTTTCCCTTCTCCTAAGCAGTACTTTTCACAAAATTGTGGGTTTGGTGTGATAGTTATGTTTCTAGTGTGCATTAAAATAGATACTGGTGTTTATGCATCTGTGTGACTATATGCACATATATTCATATATATAATAAAGCACATAGAAGGATAGTTACGGATACTTCTTAGACATAACCAAACACCTCATGGGATTGGATTTCTGGGTTTGAAGGATTAGGACCATGGTCTCATGGAACTTTGAAGGATTAGGACCATGGTCTCTTGGAACATCTCAATCAGTTGGCATAATACAGCTGATAAAGTTATGTTCTACATGCTAGTTTGGTGAGTAGTTTCTGGGCTCTTAAAAGCTTGCGAGCAGCCATCTATTGGTCTCTTCTTGACTGGAGCAAAACAGAAAGACTCAAAGAAGAAACTAGCATACAGGACAAATAGTCCACATGAACCACATCTTCATCTACCCTGAGACTAGAAGAACTAGATGGTGCCCAACTACCACTACTGACTGTTCTTATCAAGACCACAATAGATGGACCCTGATAGAATGGGAGAAAAATGTGTAACAGACCCTCAAATTCCTTAAAAAAACAAAACAAAACAGACTTACTGGACTGATTAAGACTGGAAGATTCCTCGAGACTATTGCTGTGAGATACTCTTCAAACCTTGAACTGAAACTAACCCCTGAGGTTACCGTGTGGCTAAATAACAGATAGGCTCACAAAATAATGAATATCACTCATAAGTACTGTGCTCCTTTAAGAAATCACTTATATGAGACCAAATGGTCAACAATTGCTTTAAAACAAAGGTGAAAATGTAAGGGGACGGAGAAACTAGATTAATGGAAATAGAGCAACCGTAATGGAAATGAGGATGTTCACACACTGTGAAGAATGAAACCAGTATCACTGAACAACTTGTGCAGAAATTGTTGAACGGGAACCTAAACTGCTCTGTAAACTTTCATTGAAACACAGTATTATTAAAAAAAAAAATAGATATTGAGCTATTAAAATTTTAAAAGAATTAGAAGTTTACCTGTGTACCACATAAGATCATCTTGCATACCAGTTTTCTCTGAAAAATTGCTCCAAATATTAGTTTAAAAGATTTAGTCTTTCATGCCAGAGTGCCAGATTATTTGCAATTTAAAAAAGGACTCTTAAAGATAGTTTTTTAAAGTGCTTGTTTCAGTGAGACTTCCTTGGAGGTTGAGGTTTTCATGGTTTACTTAAAAGAGGAGACTTAATAAACTTGTCTTATCATGAAGGCAGCTGCCTATTCCTCTATTCATAATAAGCCTGAAAGTGCCCATTTTTCATGCAGTAAACTACATTCTATTTATTTTAATCATGCCAGTATCTTCTTCCCAGTGTTCAATTGTTACTGTAACTAAGTTAACTTAGCATAAGAAAATTATGTTTTAAACCTTGAAGCCAAAAATAGCCAACTAAGAAACCAAATCACAGATATTATAAAAGATCAGGGTTGGGATTATGATGGATAATTTTTACTAATGTTCTTTATATATTAACAGTGTGTTTGCATTTTCCTCCACTTCAATCTGCAGGTTTCAGTTCTGAAAAATTCTCTATTATCTGTGAATATTAATATTTTACCACATCTGTGAATATTGATAATTTACCACATTCACTTAAGTCTCTCATTCCAAAGGCCTATTAAACATGCATGTTTGATCTTCTCAAATCTGTATCTTAATTTATATATATATTTAACATATCTTTCTGCAAATGACTTCTTACAGCCAGCTCCCTGGAGTTAGGCCAAACTTCACAGATTAAGGACACAGTCCTTCAGAAGACTACCCTCAACTTCAAACACCAACCACAAGTTTGGGGGTTCCCAGGGCCACCCTCACTTCTGACCAGCTGGCTCCGAATTCGGGGCTTCCAGTTATCCCCTCAGGTTTGATAATTGGCTAGAACAACTCACAGGATGCACTGAAAACCCTATACTTATTATTATAGTTTATTATAGCAAAAGGATGCAAAGCAGAACCAGCCAAAGGGAGAGACACATAAGGCAAGGTCTGAGAGGATCCCAAACATGAAGCTTCTGTGTCCCCAGAGGTATGTCACCCTCTTAGTACATAAATGTACACAGAATATGGTCAGTCAGGGAAGTGTGCCCAAACCTTGGTGTCCAGAGTTTTTATCGAGGCTTCATTATGCAGGTTTCCTTTTGATTGATTGAATCATTAACCATGTGATCGAACTCAATCTCCAGCCCCCCATCTGATATCACCTAGCTGATATCAGCTGGCTCAAAGCTCCAAACCTCTAATCACCTGGTTAGTTTTTCTGGTGTGGTCCACCCCCATCCTGAGTCATCTTGTTAGCATGAAGTATCAAGGGCCCACCTGAAGTCACTTTGTTAGCGTAAACTGTCAGGTGTAGTCCCAGGAGTACACCATGAATAACAAAGACAGTCCAATCACTTGGGAAATTCCAAGGGTTTAGAAGTTACTAAGCCCTTCAGGTTAGGAGCCCTGGTGGTGGAGTAGTTAAGCCCTCAGCTACTAACAGTTAAAGGTTGGAAGTTCAAACCCACTAGCCTCTCCACAGGAGAAAGATGTGGCAGTCGGCTTCTGTAAAGATCACAGCATTGGAAACCCTATAGGGTCACTATGAGTTAGAACTGACTGGATGGCAATGGGTTTTTAGGTTTAAGTCCTTCAGGAGCCAGGACAAATACTAGCCCAATTCTTCTTTACACAGGTTTTAGAGGTTACCTCCCAGGAACCAGGGACAAAGGCCAGGCAAATTTTTTATGACACACTTTTCCTCTCTGCTGCATTCTGGGTTATTTCCTTAGATGTACCTTCAAATTCACTAATTCTTTCTTCAGCTATGTTTTCTACTGTTTAATTTTGCTGACTTAGATATTTTTCACTTCCAGTATTTTTGTTGTTGTTGTTCTTTTACAAATCTACCTGTTCTTTATTCATATGCCCTTCTTTTAGTCTATGGCTTTTACTTCGTTTATCTCTGTGAAGTATTTTTTGTAATTTTTTATCATCTATTTTCAAGATGTAAATTTTGTCATTTCTTCATTTGTTGGCTCTCATGCTGCTGCTTTTCCTCATGTATTTTGTCATTTTTAGCTCTAAGCTCATCTTCACTGACTGTTGTTTTCTGGGGAATCCATTGTGTCCTAGAGAGTGATGTGCTCTATCAAGTGGCTTTACATATGCCAGTGTTAGGATGCTACAGTTCCACTAGTTCTGAACCAGTTTTTAGGTTAATTTCTTAATCTGATTCCTATACCAAATGCATAATGCAAATTTGGATCCAGCATTCACATGTGGCATAGGCTTGGGATTGCTTTCATAAGATTTTGTTCCACCCACAGCCCTGGCAGAAGTTCAGTTTCTTTGCATTTCCCTTCTTAGTCCAGTGGACTCAGGTTTTTTCTATTGTTTTCCATAGAAGGCTGGCTCCCAGTTTTCCATGGAGAGTTTAATTCCAGCTCCCCACCATGCATAGATATAAGGCTTCAGGTTGCATTCCTGCACCAGCTTTATAATACCAGCACTAAGACAGCAGCACTGAGTCACAATCCACCTTAAATAGCATACTTGTCAGGGACTTTTTAGATGAGCTGAAACTAAATTCTGTCCTAGCAAGTGAAATCCTATGTCATTCAATTAACAACAGTATATGCCTGATTCATATGCTTCCTTGTTTATTTTTCCTGTCTAGGTTTTGGAGTGTCACAGACCAAAGCCATCATGACTCTTGTCTCTGGGATTCCAATGGGCCCACCCCGCCTTCCACTGCAGAAAGCCTCCAGAGAGTTTACTGATAATGCTGAAGCTAAACTGAAGAGCCTGGATTTCCTTCCTTTCACTGGTTTAAAGGATAGAAATTTGGAAGCCTGTAGCTAGTCTCTCTCTATCAAATCATGGTGTATACATTGAGACACAATCCACCTTGAATAGTATACATACTCATTTCTCAGGGATTTTTTAGATGAACTAAATTCTCTCCTACTAAATTAAACCCCACATCATTCAATCCACAAGTACTTATCAAGTACCTGCTAGGAGCCTACAATAAGTTTTGTGAAAGGGGCAAAAACTTTAAAAGCAGTTATGAGCCCTAAATCATTCAACAGTTCACAAAATTTTTATGGAGAAATTTCTGCTTATATGGATGAAATGGAATCAAGAGGAAAATTGTAATTGATTAATTTTATCTGCCTTTGGGAGTTCCCATTATCTTGATTTCTGCTTCTTAATCCTTTTTTAAAAGTTTTCTGATTTTACAGCATTATAATGTACTTTCATTTCAATAAATATTCAGAATCTAGGAAAACTCTTCAGCTGTTGCATTTAGGCAGGCACATTAACTTTAATGCCAAATTATATGACTGAATTATACATAATTACTTATACACCAGGACATTTGGCTCCTCAGTCTATCTCTAGACCACTTGCCTTCATCTTGTGATATAACGGTTTTTCCCAAAAACCAGTCCCTGAAATCATTGTGTTCCTCCAAACATCCCCAGTAGACTGATACCAGATTTCTGAAACAAGCAGAGGTTAAAAACCAGCTTTCAGTGTTTTGTTGAATGAGATATTTCACATACCATTGTGTTAGCATAGTTTTAACATTAAAAACAACTAGAAAATTCAAAGACAGCAATAAGTTCATAATACTCCAAATTTTTACTGATGATTTTGGTAGCCTACTGCTATATCATGATATTAGTAGTCTACTGCTATGTAATAATTATTCATTTCTAAGAAGTTAGATGTTAAAAACCTAAGAGCTAAACTCAGCCCTGATCATTTTTTTTAATCATCATATTTCTCTTTTGTGTTCACAAGATCTCATTAACCATCTTACAAGTCCTCTAACACTGACTTTACAAGAACAAAAATAGAAAAATAGAGCTCTTTGCTTAGTGAATAGCCAAGAAATTTCCGTTGAAAAATTAATTTGGCTTTAGTATCATTAAGTGAGCGTATCACATCATCAGAACCAAAAACTGTAACAGAAATCTTACCTACTTTTAGGAAATTAACATCTATAAAGAAAAGTTTTAATGAAACTAGAATATACACTCACATAAACTACTGTGGTTCAGCTTCTAGTTCAGATACCTGATTCTAGAGGAGAAAAACACAAGGAAACAGCACATGCCATTCCTGGATAAAAAGAAGGGTGAGGGAGAACTATACCAACCCTCAATTAGCTGTCTAGTTAAAGAGAGGGTTAGCAAAGATAATTGATATTTACTAATAATTTTAAATTCTTATTTTGAAAAAGTTTTCAATTTGAAGAGAGACAGAGCAAAACTGATAGGAATTTCAAATACTTTTCTGCCACGAGCAGAGCAATTACTCAGAGAAGGAATGAAAACAAAAAGGTGATCAATAGACTGGATGTTGGTGCTGTGTGCTGTCAGAATTGATCCTGACTCATAGCAACCCTATTAAAAAATAAACCCATTGCCATCAAGTCAATTCTGACTCATAGCAACCCTTCAGGACAGAGTAGAACTGCCCCATAGGGTTTCCAGGGAGCAGCTGGTGGATCAGAACTGCCAACCTTTTGATTAGCAGCCAAGTTCTTAAACACTGCACCACACAGCAACTCTATAGAAAGAGTAAAACTGTCCCATAGGGTTTCCAAGGCTGTAATCTTTACAGAAGCAGATTGCCACATCTTTCTCTGCAGAGTAGCTGGTGGGTTCAAACCACAGACCTTTTAGTTAGCTGTGAAGTGCTTAACCACTGCACCACCAGGGCTCCTTTGTTTAATGGACTAAAAAAAAAAAAAAAACCTATTGCAGTCAAGTCAATTCTGACTCATAGCAACCTTGTAGGACAGAGTAGAACTGCCCCTTAGGGTTTCCAAGGCTGTAATCTTTATGGCTCATAACAACCCTAGAGGGCAGAGTAGAACTCCCCCATAGGGTTTCCAAGGAGTGGCTGGTGGATTTGAACTGCTGACCTTTTGGTTAGCAGCCGAGCTCTTAATCACTGCACCACCAGAGCCCCTTGTTTAATGGACAGACACCTTAATACACTCCTACTGGAGCTCCTTTTATAGAAGCCCTGGGTTTCTGCTCCTTAAAAATGATCCCTCTTCCCCTGATGCCCCACATCTGGACAAACTGGTAAAAGCCTGGGTGCCAGAGGAAGATTCAAACCACACAAGCCCCTTGCCTTGCACAGACCCTCACCTGCTAACCGTGATAAAAACTCAGGCCAGTGTCCTTTCGTTGTTTGCTCACTCTCAAGCCAGTTCGGACCTACTTAAGAGGCCATCCCTGCTCTCCCAGATACCTCAATAAAGAATAAACTGTTTCATACCTTCTTGTGTGTATTACTAGTCTCAACATCTGAACCAAACTTTGGGGACCGTCATGGATTGAATTGTGTCCCCCAAAAATATGTGTTGACTTGGTTAGGCTGTGATTCTCAGTATTGTGCGGTTGTCTTCCATTTTGTGATTGCTATAATTTTTCTGTGTGTTGTGAATCCTAATCTCTGCCTGTGGTTAATGAGGCAAGATTAGGTTATGTTAAAGAGGATTAGGATGGTGTCATGGATTGAATTGTGTCCCCCAAAAAATGTGTGTAGCAACTTGGCTAGGTCATAATTCCCGGTATTGTATCTGATGTGATTTCCTTGTGTGTTGTGAACTCTACCACTATGATGAGATTATATGTGATCTCCTCATGTGTTGTAAATTCTATCACTGTGATGAGGTTATACTGATGAGGTTGACAAGATAAGTGTCTAAATGCAATCTCGTTTGAGATATAAAAGAGAAGCAAGCACAGACACATGGGAACATCATACCACCAAGAAAGCAGTGCCGGGAGCAGAGCACATCCTTTGGACCTGGGGTTCCTATGTGGAGAAGCTCTTAGTCCAGGGGAAGATTGATGAGAAGGACCTTCCTCCAGCGCCCACAGAGAGAGAGAGAGCCTTCCCCTGGAACTGATGCCCCGAATTTGGACTTCTAGCCTACTAGACTGTGAGAAAATAAACTTCTCTTTGTTAAAGCCATTCACTTGTGGTATTTCTGTTATAGCAGTACTAGATAACTAAGACAGGGACCATAACAATGGACAAAATAACTGACCCAAATAATGGTTTCTCTTTAATGACTTTTTCAGGAACTCATTTCATTCATAGGACACTCCAGCATTTTAAGTTAGACAGCCAAGGAAAAATCTTACAGAATTTTCTTAAATCTTAACCCCACAAATCATAAACATAATGAAATGGATTCCACAAAATACATACAGAACCTGTCTCTGGCAGGATTTGTTATCTGTATTTGTATACTAGATGTGGCTAATGTTGAGTGTTAAATTCTATGCCAGACTAAGAAGACTGGACATCAAGTGTTCACCACTTATGTATTTTCCACATATGATTAGAAGGCCCTTCCTGAATGCTAGAGTCCCAAGTTTTAGGCAGATGTCGGGTGAGGCACAGAAGTTTTGCAAATGCCAACCTTTGGTGTAGGGGCCAGGATCGCTCTCATTCATCAGCAGGTACTCATAATAAAATTGTCTTTGGGGTCCTGGAAGTGGACTCCCATGGGTGGACAAGCACACCAGCATCTCGGGGTTGTCTGTAATGTTAAGTCCAGCGTGTCCCATTTAAGATGGCCCTGCTTAAGGCAGAAGGAAGTGGTGCAATTAACATACACTACGTTCCTGGGAATTTTTGGGCTGGGGAGAAAAAAAATGATCCACCTTTGGGGCTTGAGTGTTTAATGGACTGATAGCAGCTCTTTAAATGGATACATTTAAAGCATCTGTTACTGAGAGAGGTGAATAATATTTACAGGCTTAGATGGTCTTCAGGTTGCAATTGCTATGTGGACTCCCCAGAACAGTGACCCAATTAGTACTGTTCTTTTCCTAAACCAATAGCCTCAACCAGCATTGACTTCCCAATTTGAGCAGCCCTCCAGAATTATTTTACTGAGTATCCTCCACCTTTTGCTCTGTCACTTGTCTATATAGAACGGCACAATCTGTAGGCCTTCCATCAAGATCACTCAATATGGCCACAGTAAAGCGATACAGCATGGAAGTGCTGGGGAAGAGAGACCAACTTCAACAAGGTAGTAAGGGAAGGTATCTTAGTTTCCTAGTGCTGTTGTAACAGAAGTACGAGTGGGTAACTTTAAAGAACAAAATTTTATTTTCTCATAACTTAGGAGACTAGAAGTCTGAATTCAGGGAACCAGGCTTTAGTGGAAGACTCTATTGACTCTGAGGGAAGATTCTTGTCAACTTCAGCTTCTACAGCCCTGGCATTCCTAGGTTCCTTGAAAATCTTCACATGGCATCTATCTTGCCATGTTTGTGCTTGCTAGTCTGTGTGTCTATGCTACTCTTTATATAGCTTAGAGGTGATTAGGTTTAGGATACACCCAGGGGCAAATTATCCAATAGGCAAGGTAAGCACGGTGCTCACTTTGCTTACAGATCATCTGTAGTGAAATTGTTCACTACATATAAGTAAATACAAGTAAGCCCTTGCTACCTTGCTTACTGGGTCATCTGCCCTTGTCAGGGATTGTTAATTTGAAGAGGCTTTGATTCTGTAGGAAGGTGCTATAGGGTTGGGAAAGAGACAGATGCCAGCCATACCTAGAAGCAAAATGTTTGATGTGATGAAAAAAATGTGAAATTGTTCACTACAGATTCTGGTAAGCAAGGTAAATTTAACTTGCCTATTGGATAATCTGCCATTGGACACACCCAGCACTGATAGGGCCTCATTAATAGAACAAAGAAAACCCTTTTCCCAAACAGGATTACATCCACAGGTATAGGAGACAGAATTTCAATTCATTTTGGTGCTATTTCTCTAGAGAACCCTGACTCAGATGATGCCTTGATTAAGCAGGGACGGATTACCCAATCAACAAGGTACACACAGGCATAATTGTGCTTACTTATTAATTGGTTGTGCACAATTTCACCTGGGTTTTACCACATACAAGTGACATTGTGCACAACCAATTAGTAAGCACAATTAAGCCTGTGCTTACCTTGCATACTGTAAACCTGCTCTTACTGTGCTTACTGGTTAATCTGCCCTTGGCCTTAACACTCAGGGCCTACATCACCATTCAAGAAGGACTTGAACTAAACATGATATTTGGCCAATTAACTGGGATGTCCCATAAAACCATGACCCTAAACCTCCAAACCAAGAAAACAAATCCCATGAGGTTTTGGTTGTACATAAGCAACCTTAGCAACTGCTCTTTTTTGTTGCTGTTGTTGGAAATACATCACACAATTTTTGCCAATTCAACTTTTTACAGGTGTACAACTTATTGACAGCAATTACATTAATTAGCTGTGCAGCCCTACCCTTAATCAATGTGATTTATCCATCACGGTAATACATTACTGTGTTTAATGTTTCTGTTCCACTTCCTAGTTCACTGAGTAGTGCCTGGGGTCTGAAAAGCTTGCAAGTGGCCATCCAAGGTACAGCAAGTGGTCTCTATTTACCTGGAGCAACAGAGGAAGATGGAGAATCAGGAATAGGAGGAAGAAATGGAATGTGTGGCTAATAGCCTTCATGAACAACTGCCTCTTTTGCCATGAGACCAGAAGAACTGGATAGTGCCTGGCTACCATTACTGAATGTTTTGATCAAAGACTCTATAGAAGAATCCTGATCAAAAGGGGGGAAATACAGAAAAGAATATCAAATTTTAATGGAATCCAGTTTTTCTGGGGCCATGAAGGCTAGATGGACCCTTGAAACTATTGCCCTGAGATAATCTTTAAACCTTAAACCAAAAATATCCACTGAAGTCTTCTTAAA